TTTAGAGAGAGAGATGGAGTTTGAGGTTTAGAGAGAGAGATGGAGTTTGAGGTTTAGAGAGAGAGATGGAGTTTTGAGAGAGAGAGCCGATGATGTGAGAGAGAGAGATGGAGTTTGGGTTTTAGAGAGAGATAGAGTTTTGAAAGAGAGAGATGATAAAGTGAGAGAGAGATGGAGTTTTAAAGAGAGAGAGAGAGATAGAGTCATTTCGTAAGTTGTTGAAGTCAATAATACATGGTTAAAAGGGTTTAGAGGGTTGGATGATAGAAAAGATGTAGTCATTTTGCTTACAAATAATATTTTCAATTCTTACGTCTGATGAGATATAAAAGTTAAAAATAAGGGATAATAGGATATTTTCCCAATAACTAAATGGATAACACTCACGGCTTTGGCTACTGCAACTCAAACTAGGGTGGAGAGGGCATCAAATTGAGAATTGAAAATTATAGCAACACACTTGACAACAATCTCTTGCTTTGATACCAATGTTGAAATCTTGAGGGAAGAGATGAACCCACCTAGTTTCTAGGATTCAAGGCAATGTCGTGAGGCTGTGGATCACAGAGGTCATGATTTTCCAGAACAATGGAAATTCAAAAGATAACTTCCCTATACAAGCCTCTCCATGGCCATAAAAGGCCTAGTTATAAAGGGATGGAGGAGGCCGTTCTCCAACGTTTGGCTTCTTTTTAGAATCTCTAAAAAAATGTGGCCCACAATTCCTGGGAGGTCGGTAGTTATCATCTACCAGTTAGATGACGACATCTTCTCTCTCTGAGAAGCCCTTATTTTATTGATAAATATTAAATCATAAGTGAGAGAAAAATGACACCTTTAAAGACCCCATGGCCACCCACACGTACAACACTGAGACCCTAAACAATCAAAGTAAGATGCACATTCAAATAGTGTCGAAAGATGTTATTTCAATACTGAACATCTTTGGAATAGCTTGAAAACTTATTTTGATATCTAATTATAAAATCTAAAGCTTCCAAAATATTGTGATCGAGCAGATCTATAAACAATTGAAATCTTAAAAATTAACAGTCCAAAAAATGCATTACACGATGCACTATTTTCAAGACTTGAAATCCATTTTTTCTCATGTTCACACATCTTGAGGTTGAGATGATCGATTTGAGGATTTTGAGCATCGAATTTTTGAGGTGCGCCTTAATTTTATTGTTTAGGGCCTCACCTTGATATAAAATTTTTCAACAACGTAAAGCCTCATCTAGAAACTCCTTTGGGCATCAGAAATGTCCATGATGGCTCGAAAACAATTTCTAATACCAAATATGAAATTTGAAGTTCAAAAAATGGTATAGATCTTGTAGATCCATGAATACGTATTTTTATGGTGAAATGGACACTTTTGAGAACATATTACAATATACACTACTTTTAGAGCTTTAAATCCTAACTTCTTTTCACAACTATAGCGTCCATAGCCGAGAGGATCGATTTGAATATTTTTCGATGCCATAAATGTAATTTTTTGTGAGTTTTCCGGTGAGGCGTTAGTTATTTTGATAGAGCTGCAACCTATCAAAATATTTGTCTTTTTATAATATCACAAAACCTAAAGAAATCGTAACATAAAATTTCCTTATTTGAAATTGGTATAAATTCGTTTTTAAATAACATAAAAGAAAATTGTTTCATGTAGGCTGGACAGCATGACTACATATGTGGTCCAAAAAGTGTAAAGCATCCATCTTAAAGAAGGAAGCAAGTAAGTGTTCGACGAAAAAAAATAATGGAAACTAGCAATCCAAATATTTCCTTATCAAAGTTATTGCTTCTAATTTTTAAAATTTATTTTTTCATATTTATGATCTCCGTGTTAGAGATTACATGTCCATAAAAGTTAGTCCAAAAATCTATCTCAAAAATAAACTTATTAATAAGCCGGCATTTCCACATATGCTTAGCCGCAGAAATCGGTCCAGCTAAGAGCGGCTATTTTGCAAGTATATTATGCTCCCATAGGAGCATACTGTTCCTTTTCTCCTTCACTAAAAACACCTGGTTATAAAATTGTTTTACGTCTAAAATTTTGGGAACTATAAAAAATTACAAGATGATCACTTTCCAAAAAAAATTTATAATTTTGAGTTTTATGATACTTAAATCTAGCCCTTTAAATATTGGACGACCATCCAATCATGAGGATTAATTTTGCTAAAGTTTACCTTTAAAACTTTAGTGAACAGGTTGTAGAGATTACATATGCAAAAATTGAGATCCAAGCATAGCTGTTTCTCTCGATGGAGTAAATAGATAAAATGCTCCCGCGGGAGTAGTAAGTTTCTCTTGTTGGCTCCTGTTATGGAACCGACCGTTGCTACTATATTTCAAGAGTAAAAGCCTTGAGACCGGCCGTGTCGTCAAAGCTTTGCATCCTCTCGCAACCTAGAGAGAGAAAGAGAGGGAAAACGCTATCATCTAGAGATAGAAAACGACGCTGCTTCTCTCTACTCGTACGCGCATAAGCATAAAAAAAAACCAGTTCTGAAAGGGTGCACAACTCTTCTCAAAAGCCACGACTTCATTAACTCAACACTACAAATATGGCTCACTTTCACCATTGTTTTACGCACCAACTTCGTGTAATTTTCTTCCAGCATTTTCACCCACCAAAACCCACTTTCACGAACCCTCTTGCACCATGGAGAACCTACCTCCTCACCGTTCATTTCTCGCCATGACTAACCTCTCAGACAATGACTTACGAGTGTTTCACCACATCGATAGGGAGCTTTATGGCCGCTTGGTCATCGATATAGGCTTCGAGAAACCAGAATCAAAAGAAATAATGGCCTTTTGGCTTTGGTTGGAAACAGTAGGTCACCCCAATGTCATTGATAGGATCACCGCTGTGTCAAACAACGCAGTTCGCATGATCGCTGAAGAGGCACAAGCCTGCCTCGCCTATTTCCGGTCGGGCATGGATCCAAACGTGCTGCGTGACAGTAACCATTTCCCTATAACTGCAGGATTGTTAGATAGGTCCATCAGTTTCAGGGATTTCACTGAGTCTATGAGCTCTGGCATATTGGAAGTTTTGAATGAGGTCTCCGAAAAAATATTCGACGACAGTTGCTTCTTCCGGTGAATGAAGAGGCAATTTTCGACCTCAATGCGTCGCTTCCGGCCAGGTTTCATGATACATCTTCAGATCATGGTGTTAGAGGGAGTATGAACCCTAATGCTTGTGCTTTCAACCTCAATACTGGAGGCATAATAAACCCTAGTGCTAGAACTTTGTCATACCCCAATACCAGATCTTCTCCAAACCCTAGAACCAATACTTTTGTTGTGAAGGATATGGCTACTCCTTTTCTCATGAACTACAAAGTCAGGGTCCCTAATGCAAGTGGGATCGGATTGAATCCTAGTCTTGGGAGTAGTAGTGAAATGGTTGCCACTGAGGGGCCTACTGTTAATATTGTGAACCAAGCAATAGGGCAGGCAGTTGAAGGCAGAACCCTGTTTCTCACTTTTTCAAGGGGCCATCCCGTCAGAGATCAAGAAGTAATCGACTTTTTTAATAAGTAATCTCTCCATATTATCTTATTTCAAACTTTGATATGAACTATTAGAGTTTTTTCTTTTTTTAATATGCAAAAATTTTAAATGTACGTTTGTTCAAATGCCTTCCTCATCTCAAATTATCAATCCTAATTCTTTTTATATTTTTTCAACCTGTCATTTTAAAGATGGATTTAAGATCTGAATCAAATCGTAAGTCAATTTAGATGCATTTCGCATTACATCCATGATTTTATATAGTTAAGATCCGATGACCTGGGAAGAATTAGAAAAGATGGTGATGAATAGTTTAATAAGAAATTTCAAAGTAGTATTTTTCATAAGTTCAAAATTCTTTTGAAAGTATATACATTGAGACCATTTAATTTTTGATACAACATTAATCATTGATCATTAGATTTGAAATCTGGTGGTTGAAGAGGTACAAAGTATAAAATAAAATTTTTCAAATAGTGTGACACACTGTCATCTATTGGATTTCACATCCAATGGCTAAAATGATTGTGACCTCCTTATACTAAAATAAATGGTCCCAAAGTATCAATCCTAATCCTTTTTATATTCTTTCGGCCTGTCATCTTGATATAGTTTTTCCTAATAGAAAAAATTATGGTTTTTGTTTATTATAAATTTATATTGCTTGAACATTGCCAAATGAATGAAATAATATAAAAATTAAATGAATGAAAACAACAAATATTGAATTGGTTTAGTTTCTTTGTTGTGTGTGCAGGGAATATGGTAATGTTGTTGGGTCACTGTTCATGAAAAACAAAAGTGGAAGGACAAAGCCACTATTCGCGCGTCTTGTCCTAAAGTCAAGAGAGATGGTTGATCGTGTTCTTGGAGGCCAGCAAATGATCAGGCACAAAATAAGAGGGAGAGATCTGTGGGCTAGGTCCTTCACCATGGAAAAGCCCACGAGGCCCATGGATTCCAAGAAAAGCCAAAAGTAGAGGAGAATAGGAAAGCCCAACAAGCCCATGGATCCCAAGTATAAGCAAAAGAAGAGGAGAATAAGTGGACGGAATTTCATTCGAATGAGAATCGAAATAGACTATTAATTGATAAGAATGTAATGCACGAACATTTGAGTTTTTTATTTGTCCATTTCCCTCTCCCTAATTTTATATCCCAATCCAAGACTGTCTTTTCATATTTTTCCTCATGAAAGAACCCGATTTTTCATATTTTTTCTCATGAAAGAAACCGATTGTTTGCAAAATGTGGCACTTTGACCTTTCAGTAAGGGCCTGTCTTCCCCAACGCCATATTGGTTTTCTATTACGCAAGCATGCACCTTAGGTACTATGGTACGAGAGAGACTACTCTTTTATCTCCGAGATTTTTATATTGATAAAGAAAGAAGATTAGATCTATCAAGAAAACTAAAGACATAAAAGAAAATCATATTTATCTAGAAAAAGGAAATGCATCAAAGAAGAAAAAGGAAATACAACAAAGAAGATAGATTAAATGTTCAACAAACATAAAATTTTCATGTTCAAAATAATGAAACATTTAATCTATCTAAAATTTTCATGTTCAAACTAATGAACTGGATGGTGCAACTAGGATTTAGATAATAAGAACGACCACTTAACGACTACAAAAATAATTAACTCCAATTTAGCAGATTTAAGAAAAACTTTTATACAAAAGCCTGAGAAGGAAAACCTTTATAAGAGTTTTAGCCATGCACAAACCTTCTGTAGAAGAATCTCTTCTTTTCTTATCCATGTTGTATTTTCTAAATATTTATTTGAATAGGATTTCTAGGCATAGAGGGAGAGACCTTTATGAAAAAATAATATATATATATATATATATATATATGGGAAATGATTTCATGCAACCGCGAACAATCGCGAAAAGGAAATGCCACTTAGAAAAAAAAAATTTAGCCTAATTAATACAGACCATTTTTTCAGCCCAATTAAAACAGACCATCCATTTTGGTAAAATGCTTAAATCTGGGCCTTACAATTATCTTTTTTCTTTCCAAATATTTTAGATAATTTTATTATCTTTAGATTAAAGGCCTAGATCTTGAAATTCATCAATGGATGGTCTAGATTCATTGTTGGAGAGGACTCATTTTGGCCATATATATGGGGTACAAATTAGTTTTTTTCTTTATTTAGATTGATTATTGAGATGAATA